AGTCTCCCACATCAAACAGCCTCTCTCTTCCACAAACTTTAGCTGCCTCTCCCCAATCCCCTGTGTCCTTTAACCAACTCACTGGCAAACAGGGCCCAACACAGCCATCCACTACCACCAGCTGGCCACCCTTGCGGTGCCTTCTCCACACACTCTTGGAGGGCATTGTGCTCCCTTCCTTTGATGGGGTTCCACTGACGCTTGCTGACTCAGTCAAGAGCCTAGGAGTTATCATGCACCTAGCATTATTGCTGGAGAACTTAATTCAGCTAAAATAAAAATGCTTCCATCCTCATTTATACCCCATAGGTGGATCCCTACCTTGATCCGGCCGCATGGAACCCTGCTACAGTCTAGTTTACTGGCTAGTCCACCGTAACACATTCTACATGGGCCTGCTATGAAGAGAACTCAGAAACTTTAATTGGTGCACAATACTGCGGTTCCCTTGCTAGGGGGAGCTAGGTGAAGTATGCATATCACGCCTGTTCTGCCGTCTCTACCTGGGTTACCAAATAATTCCTCAGTCTAATTCAAGGTGCTGGTCATGGTGTAAAACCCACATATATATACAGGACGGCCTCTCCCAAAATGCCCCATGGCAACACTTGTGCCAGTCTGAGCACAGCCTTCAAAAGGTGCCATTCGGTAAGACCAGCAACTGACTGTTTCCGTGCATTCTGTGTGTGACTCCCACTTCGCGGAATGGCCTGCCGAGCAGACCAGGAAGGTTCCTGCGGTTCTGTCCTTCTGCAGAAAGGGTAAAACAGAAATGTTCAGGGGAACATTTTTATGAAGGCAACAGGAGAACAGTCTCTTGCATAATCTATTGTTATGTAGTGCTTTGTGTATACTTCCCTTGTTTCTCTAATTTGTGCAATCCAGTTGGTTGAACTGTTTATAATACGTCTTAAATTGTTTTTCTGTATTGTAATCTACCTTAAGTCTCAGCTAGAAAGGCAAACTCTAAGTAAAAAAAATAGAGGATTGGGTGAGGGTGGCTGCCTTGGTTCCCAAGAAGGAACCATCCCACACTTCGTCAGTACAGTGTCAAAGCAATACAGTGAACCGTGTTCCACTTTCCACTAGCTGTCCTCTCATTCCATGCAGGGAAAGAAGAGGATATTGCTCATTTGCCCTCCAAATCTGACAGACCCACCTTGGTACGCTTCCTGGTATTTTAGTATCGCCAGGATTTGGACTGACCCCACAACTAGGAACGTGTCCCCCCGCTCATCTGCCACAGGGTGAGGGGCAAAGGAGGAAGTTGGCGCTTTGAATTTGGCTGGACCCACCTGTACAGCACGCAGGCTTTGGCTCTGCCCAGCCGGACAACCCAAAGCTTCTGGACCAGGCAAGAGGAGGTGATCCCAGCTTTAGACCATAGGCTGCTCAAGGCCCTGGTGCACAGGCCCACATCCTCAAGGGATGGGGCTGAAACAAGCGCATTTGCATGGCCAAACACGACACCACAAGAGGCCAAAAGCTCTGGCCAAATCTGTCAAATCTAATTGCTTTAAAAAATGAGGGCAGAACACCAGAAGGCTAGTTGGCATGACTGTTTGCCCACCACAAGGTGATCGGAGGTACATTTGCCCTATGGCAGAGCTCCACCCCCTTGGCCTCATCAGAACGTGCCTAAAAAGCCAAAGTTGGACACAGCCTCCCAAACTGGAAGAGAGCAGCAAAAAAAAAAAAAAAAAAAAGGTAGAAAACGAGTGGGTCGGGAGCAGCAGGGCGGCCCTTGCTGCCGCCCCTCCCCAGTGGAAGTTCCTTTGTTGCGTTCATTCTGAAAGTCACTGCCAATGTTGAAACAGAATGTAGGTCACGATTAGTCAGATGCTCAGTCTGCCTGACAGCTCGTAATATCCAGCCGCCAGCGCTGAGGAGAAAAATGGAATGCGACCCTGCACCCGAGATGGGCTCGCACACAACGTACCTCTCCGAAACCCAAAGCCCCAACTGGAGAGTCCAGGGGGAAGAACGCGTGGGAAAAGCCGGCCAAGGCTTGCCTCTCGGATCTGACCATATCTGGGCTTTCGTTTGTTTGGCAGGGGATAGACAAACCCTTGCCAGAAGGAAGATGCCTTCCAGGGCCACTAGCCAAGCCTTCAAAGATTCTCATGCCAACACCTCATTCCGACTCTGCCATAAGGGTGCCAAGCCAAGGGGCCACAAAGCATCATCCCTACAAGACCCCAGAGTGCCGTGGCCATCGTGCAGCGGCAGAAGCAAGGGATTCCTGGCAGCCAGCTCTGTGGGCAAGAGGAGGAGCCGTTTATGTAGTTATTTATCTTTTAAAAATTTCTCTCTGCCGTATCTCCTCAAGGTGACAAACAATGCAGCAACCAAGTTGCGAGGGCACATATTATCACGGCACAACGGCAGATCTCGCAGCAGGCGGTCCTCCTCTGAGGAGCAGCACCCATTTCTAGAGCCGCTGGAGGGATCCGGGGAAGGGGAGACTGCCGGAAGCGGCTTTGCTCTCCATAGAGTCACCAGCATCATCCGTTAAGACAAAAGTATAGAAGGGATCTTTGGGGACAGGTATGACTCCCACACGCACACATTTGCTTCTGGCCAGTGTCGCGTGACAAGCAGTCCCAGATACCAGAGAAATCTGGAAGCCAGACAGAACGGAACGGCACCTTCGAAGGGGGATGGGGCAGAAGCGTGGCCACCAGCCACAGCAGAAGTGCATGGCCACGGTGCTCGGCGACACATTTTGCCCCCCCCCCTCCAGAGCCGGGCACACCGCCGGAGTAGAAAACTGTCTTCTCTCTGCCTGCAGCTTCTGCAGGCTCCCCGAGGGGACCTGAACGAACCCTGGCAAAGCGATGGGAACGAGGCCTTCCCTATTCAGGGTAGATCTCCTCCGTGGCTCCGCTTGTTTCCATGGCAATACCACAAGTGAAAATTTTCCGTCCTGGATGCCAAATGCTTGTGGATGAGGCACAGCCCCTCGGAGGGTGACCAAATATAGACAAAACTCCAAGCGTCTGACTGCTCGGGACCAGGAGGATGTGCCTCAGACCCGTGGGTGCAGGAGGAAAGCTGAGAAAGGGCTTCCCCCACTCCCAGGGACTTGCCTGTTCAGAGCCAGAGGGCCCCCCCCCACAATTCCAGAAAAATGAACTCACACAACCTCTTCAACTGAAATGCTCTACAAAAACAATCTGGATGGGACGGCTGGAGGAGGCACCCTTCTTATATCTGCCCCAAAGAGGAGGTAGAGCTCAAACGCCTTCCCAGCACCTCCCCCTGCCTTGTCAGTCAACGCCTGCCAAGCACAAAACTTCAATGGAAAAGGCCTGCAGGTGCTGCAGGCTAGCTTGCTGCTGAGGCTATGCTTTTGATTCCACCCCACCCCCCGAGAATGTCATTCAGGCTGGTCTTGCGACCAGCCCGGCAGACTGGGCCAGGCCCGTGGCAGCAGAGGAGGTTTGGCTGAGGCGCTGGCCATGATCCTTGTTCAAACAGGGACTGTTTCTCACGCTACCTGGTCTCTGCCAGTCCCTCCCTGAAACTCTGCTCCCTCCTCCCACCCTAAATGACATCTGTTCACCACTGTGCCTCTCTGAGTGCATTCACACAACCAAAGTCACACGGGGGGGGGGGTTCACATGGTAAGCTCCCCCACCACCTTTGCATTTGAAGAGAGCTGGCTGGGACGCAATTCAGACAGGAAACATCAACAAGCCAGCCTTATAGAAGCAAATCCCCTTGATAGTCCTGCAAGCCCTGGCTCAGTCCACAAAAGCGGCACCCCCAGTATCCATTTCAGTGGAGCTCATGCTGGAGAAACTTTCAGTGGTTGTGTCCATTTTGCTCTACACATTTGGGAAGGGAACAGAGCGATAAGTGCTTGGGGCAGCTGGCTTTGCGAAACAGTCAATGTGGGCAGGGAACTTTGGTGACAGCGGGGTAACACCTCTTCTTTTTTAGGGCCAATGGAATATAGTGAACATCTTTTCCTCTCACCAAACATCCAGCCAGAAGGAGAGTTCTGGTGAACTTAAAAAGCTTGCTTGCTGTTTTATGATGCTTTAGTTGGTCTTTAATAAAGGTACTGCCTTCCTGACTGGGGCTTTGGGATTTTTTTTTAATGGATCAGCGGCTTACAGAGATTCAGAAGAAGTAATCTTTCAGCTGCCTTACATGCGTGTATTTAAAATGTACGGCCACATCCATATGGTGAGGCTTCTCTGTTAGGCATCCATTGCTATGGCACATGCAGAGGCAGAAGTACTGGCAACGGAACATCTACATGAGAGTGTCTGCGCACTTTCCTTTGTCAACCTCCACATTCCCTGCATTTCTTCCCTATCGTGCCACCAGACAGCTTTTTCAGGATCTTAAAAGAAAAAAGTAATCGCCGTGGTGCTACACCAACTATCAATTAAAAAACAAGAACTGCAAAAGCCCTCTAGCAACACAGTGGGGGAACCACCAGCAGCAAGGGGCTGCCGAAAGAAAATGGCTCCAGTGCGGGTGGGGCCCCCCCCCTCAAAATGTTCCCCTTCCCATCCAGGCAGCTTGCCCACTGCATTCTTCCCCAAAGGGGTGTAGTAAAAGTGGTTTGAGAAAGCAGGCGCTGAGGACTGGGAAAATGTGGAAAGTGGTCCAAGAGACAACAACATCAGGTGGATGCTTCAGGAAGCAGCACACCAACTTGGGTGCAAAGGTGGAGAAAAAGATCTGCGCGCAAGCAGCCCTGGACACGGCAACGAGCTTCACTAGACTATCCAGAGCAGCCACTCTTGCTGGGAGATTCAGATTAAGAAGCAGAGGCTGCCACTGATGCCTGGAAATAACAGCGCCCGCAGGCAGGATGGCTCCACCCTGAAGAAGCCAACACTTCGCAGGCTCATAAACTTCCAAGAGGAACAATAAACAGCTCTCCCATTCACTGGGAGAAAAAGCGGCACTAAAAGAGAAACCTCTCTCTCATAAAGGACACCCGGGGCAAAAAGGAGCAGGCCAGCTCAGCCATGACTTACGCAGTTTGCATGAGCTCTGGGTTGGGCACACACTGCAGTCGGTGGGAGAGGAGCTGGAAGGCACTGCTCTGCGGCAGCAGCATCAGCAGCCCATACAGAGCCTTGATTAGGTAAGGATTGTTCTTCACATCCAGCAGCTGCAAGCGGAGATCTGTAAGCAAAAAAGAAGGGGCTGAGGCTGCTGCACACGCTCCGTGGGACTCGGGCACCTCGGCCTAAAGCAGGCATCTGGGGAATCTTACAAGGTGCGTATGTGTGTGATAGAAGTGCCTTTGAAGAGCTCACACTTGCAAAGGAAGGTCACAGTGAGGTTCAGAAACTACAGGCAAGGTGGATGGATCTCAGGGATCAGTGATGGAAACACCATGCCCATTTCCTCCTGCTCACTGGAATTGGCATGAATTGGGGTCACCCTGGTGTAGAAGCGGGGTGTGCCGTGTATGCGTCTCAGAATGCCCAGAGCTTCGTCATCCCATCAGGAGTCACACAGAGAGGGATATGAGATTTCCCAGGAATTGCGGGAGAGCATGGTTGCTGATACATGTGGAAGAAGGGGGTTGTTGGGCGCTTCCAGCCATTGGGATGACTGTTCCGTGGCACATCCTGAGGACAGAAGACATTGCTTATAGAGCAGACGGAACTCTTTAAATTTGTCTCTCATGAGGAGGCAGACCAAAGCAGCAGGGTGCCCAGTCTGTATGACCCAGGGCTATGAGCCCAAAGGGCTAGGTCACCTGAATAAACAAGCCTGGTCCACGGCTTGTAGCCTAATCCTTTTCCCACTTAAGGTTTCATGTTTTCTAAAGCAAAATTACAATGTGGTCACCATGTTTCTGTTAGCCCACAAATGCTATGCAGAAAGTTTCACTGGGCATCACAAATCCGGGTACCAGAGCCGCACAATTCCACATGGAAGAGGCACATGCGCCTCTTAAGAGCTGCAAGAAAAGGAGAATTTTGGTGGGCGCTGGCTAAAGTCACAGTCATGACAGAATCCGCTCTGGCTGACATCCTCCCTTCTCTATAGCAACGAACAGCACAAAAGCCATTTTCTAAATGGAACCTGGACCCCACGTCCGACTTCCAAGTTATCGAGTGTCAATGCCTGCAGTTGCAAGAGTCAGTGCACGTGATGTTCATCCCACTAACCTACATTGAGTGCACGGCCTTACCCACTGCAATTATGTGGCTGCCTGTCCCTAATGGACAAGTGCACTGGAGGGTCTCGCAGCAAAGAGACTCATAACTTCTGCTCTATTTATTTGGCTAGTGCTGAGACTTGCAATATGAGGGTGAGGCAAAAGCACACCAGCATGCCAATACTCCCCCACAGATACCCCCACACACATGAAAGCAATTGAGAAATTAAACTTGCATGTAAAAATCGGGCATTCTATCAGCTGGACCAACTTGTCAACCTCAATCAGGAAATCGACTGTGACCTCCAGGTCACCGCTGAGAACCTCTGTTAAGGGAAGTTAACAGGTCTGCTGGCTAAGCAAGAGGGCAGAAGCACCAAGGCAGGCCTGCAGCAGGCCCGTAGCTAATCCGGGGCCCGCGGAGCGCAGCCCCCTGATGTTTCTTCCGGCCCCCCTCCCTCCCGGGCTGGCTCCAAATTGAATTACTGCTATTAACTTTGATTTAATTAGCTGCAACCCTCCAGCCCCCCCCCCCCAAATCCCTAGGTATGGGGCTGACTTGCAGCAACAGGAGCACCAGAAACAAATCTCTTCCCATGTGGATTCTCTGATCTGGTCAGCCAATGCAGAACGGACAACTTGTCCCGAAAGACATTAGAAAGGGCCATGTCCTCCAATTGCAACCATGTGGCTTATATGTATTAATCCTGCACATAAGGAGAGCCACGCGGCAGCAGGTATGGCAAACTGGCCATCCACTGTGTCTCCCCAGACTGGCAGGCTAGTGTTTTCCCTTCCAGTGCTGCAACTGAGATTACCAGTGCCATTCTAAACAGAGTTATGCCCTTCTAAAACCATCCACTTCAATGGGCTTAGAAGTGTGTCACTCTTCTTAGGAAAGCACTGTGCGTCAATCACACAGAGGCAACCAAGTACTCTTCCACGTGGCAGCAGTACCACTTCCATGTGGCTTGCCAATTGCACAGAGACCCTGCACCTTCAAGGGGGTGAAGGGTATGGGGCTCTACATTTGGTCTAGGCCAATCCAGACAGTAAGTGGCAATGCAAGCACTATGCCCTTCTCAGCAGAGCATCACTTCGCAAAAGTATTAGTTGTGTGTGTGTGTGTGTGTGTGTGTGTGGTGGGGGTGAACCACCTCCATGTCCAGTACCGACAATCAACATGAAGGGGAGGCATGATTGACTTCCTATACTGGGAAGTGGCAGGCTGGTACTATCGTGTGACTCAAGAGTTCTTGTTGGGGCAGGATGGGGGTCAGGAAAGGATTGCCTTCTTCCCGACACTCCCTCCCAACTCCAGTTTTTGACCAAAGATGGTCCATGGCTCCTTTCAAATCCATCCTCCCTTCCTATTAGCAGATAGTGCCGGGGACCCTCCCTTGGCTCCTCCTACGGAGACGTACGGCAGCGACACCTCGCACTCTGAGCAGGATAGGGTCAATCGCCCCTGGCAATACTATTTCAGGAGGCTCCTGCTTAGAGCTTCCTGCCCCAGGACAGTGTTCCTTAATCAACTTAGCTCAATGGGCCAAATGCCTCCCAGTGGGACTGTGACCCACTTCCTACACAAATTAATGGCCTCCTTCCCAACACCACAACTTGCTTGGGCTTTAGCTCCAAGTTCTTCTCCTGATGTAATGAGCAGCAGCCCACCTTCGGCAGCAAGAGGGATTAGAATTCAAGGTGATCGATCTTTCATTCTCCATTACATGCAAATGGAACGGGGAGACAAAATGGCTTCCCAAGCCATCGAGCAAGATGGACCGCTTCGTGGACCGTTCCCCACTGGCCCTCCCCTAATGCAACTTGTTACAGGTGGGAGTCAGACCAAGAAGCAGTCCAGAATCCGGGCTGTGACAAGGATCCCTGTTAAGGGGAGGGGCAAGGCTGCTGAAAATGTCCCCCGGGTTCCGCTAGGAAGCCTACCGTATATGCTAAGAACTCCTCTGCTTCACCTTAGGCTGCTTCACGTTTTGAGTGCACAGTCCTGAGTTCAGTCGGCTGACCTGAGCCAATTCCACTCAGTCTGCAGAGGTATTGTGAAAATAAAATAGGGTAACACTGAATGCTGCGGTGGCTCAAGTGGTTAAGACGCTAAACTGCAGGCTGTGGAAGGTCGGTAGTTCAGCAGTTTGAGACCCGGGTGCCGCATGACGGAGTGAGCTCCCGTCTCTAGTTCCAGCTCCTGCCAACCTAGCTGTTCAAAAGCAAGAAATTGCAAGTAGATAAATAGGGACCACTTCAGTGGGAAGGGAACAGCGTTCCGTGCGCCTTGGTGCTTAGTCATGCCAGCCACATGACCACGGAAACGTCTTCGGACAGCGCTGGCTCTTCGGCTTTGAAACGGAGATGAGCACCACAACCCTAGAGTCGGATTCGACTGGCTTTCAAGCAAGGGAACCTTTACCTTTTAACACTGAATGCACAAGGATGTGATGTCTACCGAATGCCCCTTTGTAAAGATGACCTGACTGGGGAGGGGGGTGTCCAGTTCTCGGGCTCTCTTTTGCAAGGGTGCAAGGTTTGGCTGGGATGACCAGCTAAATATTGATTGGCTTCAGTGTGGTGTAGTGGTTAAGAGTGGCGGACTTGAATCTGGAGCGCCAGGTTTGGTTCCCCACTCCTCCTCCTCCATATGAAGCCCTTGAGCCAAGCACAGTTCTCTCAGAGGTCTCTCGGCCCCCACCTGCCTCACAAGGTGACTATCGTCTGGAGAGGAAGGGAAGGTGATTGTAAGCCGCTCTGAGACTCCTTGAAGTAGAGAAAAGCAGGCTATAAAAGCCTCCTCATCTTCTTCATTTATGCCCCACCTTTCTCTGTAATGGGGGACCCAAAGGAGCTCACATCATTCTCCTCTCCTCCATTTCATTGTAACAACAATCCTGTGAAGTAGTCTAGGCTGAGAGCAGGTGAATGGCCCAGGGTCAGCCAGCAAGCTCCCCTGGCAGAGTGGGACGTCAAACCTCAGTCTCCCAGATCCTAGTCTGACACTCTAGCCACCATATTACGCTGGCTTCTGGCCCATAGTCTTCCCTGACAATTAGTAGCACTGGAGACTTCTGAAGGGGGAGGGGGCCATGATAGCCAAGCTATATGCGTTCAGGCTGTGGGGTAGAGTTCCTGCCATCACTAGAAAAATAAAGAGTGTGACAGGTGCCCCTGCTGGATCAGACCAATGGTCCATCCTGCTTTACAAAGAAGTCAACCAGTTGCCCTGAATGGCCAACAGACAGAGCGCCGGAACCCGGGCCTTCCTGTACTGTCGCCTCTTAGAGCTGGTATTCAAAGGTCAATGTTTTCAGTTCTTGCTTTTCACTACTAAGAACTCAAAAGATGTCCCAGCATCCTCTAGCACACAGTGGCCAACCTAACGCGCCTGAGGGGCCTACAGGTGGGGCATGGAAGCCAAAAACTCTCCCCCCTGGACTGGTATTCAAAGGGCCACCGCCTCTGAACATGGAGGCTACCATTTGGTCATTGCAGCAAGTAGCCACTGATGAATCAATCCTCCATGAAAATCTTAACCTTTTTTCATATTTTTGCACATGTGTGTGCGTGCCCATGACTGGAAGTCAAGGCAACCTCCGGCGACTCCCACTGGGGCATGGAGGATGTTCAGAGAAGTGGCTTGATGGCCAGCCTCGGCCTCCCAGCCCTGGTATTCTCTGGAGGTCTCCCATCCAAGTACTTGCCAGGGTCGGCCCTGCTTCGCTTCCGAGATCTGACGAGATCGGGCTTGCCTGGGCTATCCAGGGCAGGGCCAGCTTACCCCTTTTCATGCCATCTATCAAGCATTTCTACTGCAGTCCAAATATTTTGGCAAGGCACATTGCGTGTTCAGACTACAAAACATGCCGAAGGCCATTGGGCCAGCCGTAGGTTAGGAGAGGAACCAACATGGTACTGAAGCCCTGGCACCCTGGCTGCCCCACTCCACATATTGCCCACCCATTTCCTAAGCGCACTCTGCAACCAAGACGACGAATTACCTACTTCATTTCTTCCTCAGTTACCTCTCCAATGGGGACTCAGAACAGCTTACAAAACCATTCTCTCCTGCTCTGTTTTATCCTTACAACAGTGACCTCTAGGTAGGTTAGACTGAGAAAGAGTGAAAGGCTCAAGGTCCACGAACTTCCGTGAGCTTCCATGGAAGAACGGAGACTTGAACTGGGGTCTCCTAGATCCTAGTCCGACACTCTAACCACTGCCCTGTGCTCGCTCACAAGAAAAGGGAACCAAGCTCAGCCCCAACTGCTAGGAGCGTCTGTGTCACGTGAAGGCAGGTCTGAAGTACCGTAACACTGTGCTGACTCGAGCTGCTGTTCCATATTTCCAAAAGAGCGGGGTGGCTTCACACAGAGGCCGAGAGCACCTCCCAACTCAGCTGCCGACTTCCACCTAGTGCTACGGCGAAGGGAAGGATAGACCACATTCATGCTTCGATATACAGAGGGACAGAAAGGCAGAGAAACAGCCCCAGTCTTACTAATTCACTCCCTTCTGCCTGATGCTGACACTCTTGAGCTGATCTGTCTGGAAGTCCCATTCTAGAAGCCGTTCTCAAGGCAAAGGATCGCCTCCAGGCTCTGCCACTATTTCTGGCTCTCAGGGAAAACAAAAGATAGCTGCAATGCAGAGGACCTTGTGAAGGATCACTTTTTATCAGCTGTTTCAGTTCACAACTCTTTGTTATGGTATCCAGGAGGAGGCCGTCAGAAGGCCTGGTCTGTGTTTAGACTACATAAGCCCAGAACAAGAGCCGGTGGCCCAACCCCACCCTCCCTCCTGCAGCCGGCCAAGAGCAGCACCAAATTTAAAAAACAAAAGGATACAACTTCTGGATGAGGTCATAGGCGTGCTTGTAGTTCTGAGTGAGAAAGCAGAGGGATACGGTAGTCACAGGGTTGTGGCACCAGGAACGGTAGAGACAGCAGAATAAATTGCGGCTCTCCTGGGAAAACAAAACAGTTAAGGTGGGGGCGTATACAAACCACCAAACAGGCCAGTCCCTGCTTCCAGCCACTAAATGTGATCCAAAACTAACATTCGTCTCTGTTGCTGCAATTCAATACCTTTGTAAGGAAGAATAAAGGGATGTTGTTCATACCACTGGTGCAAATAATTGCACAGGCAAGATGCTGGGCATTCTGTGCGTTTGCCAGGTGGCCACACAAGCATGGGATCTGGCTTTTAAAAAAATGTTTCTAATTCACATGATAGCAGAAAATAGTTTGAGTCACAGCTTGTGAGTATGTCCAATGAGATTTCCAAAGGAGGCATAGATAGAAGCCTTCTTGCTGAAGCTAATTGTGCCAATTCGGGGGGGGGAGAAGAAGAGGCCTTAACCCTCTTGCACACTGCCCATAGAACTATCCCTCCGTTCTTGTTTATATAAACTGAGGTTAGGGTAATCTGGAAATACTTTTAGAAGCCCAGCTGTGCTGCAAATACAACAGACATGTGAGTAGCACAGAACTCTGCTATTCACAGGAGAAGAATCCAGTGTGACTCTAAAGGTTGTTACTCTATGAACCCGGGGCCCCCCCCCCCCCCAGCAGCACTTTGGATCCTGTTTTCCTGCTTGACACCAACATGGGATCTGCTTTCTAGAACGGTTGGGTTCTGACAGGAGTGACTTCTGGTAGGAAAAGAAAATACAGTTTTGATACAATGCAACTGCAGAACCCACCAGTGTTGTCAAGGACCATGTTTTTCTTAAAGCTGTAAAGGAACAAAAGTCTCAAGTTTTATCACTTTCAGTCTCAAAGGCCTAATTCAAGACAATGCCATTAAACCAGTGCAGCATCTATCTGAATTAAAGGCCCCTGCAGACTCAAGGTCTGGATACAAGAAATCCGGTATCCAGAGCTGCATACATCCCCGGACTCTACTTCGTGACTGATTCGGTGCCTTCTGGCCTTCAGCATAAGGTAAATCAAGCACAGACCAAACAGTTGGCAGTGATCTACAAACAAAACCCTCATTTCAAGAGCACTAAAGCAGATAAGACACCAAGAAGCACAGTGTAGACACAAGGGCTCCTCAGCATTGATGGGAAAATAATCTTACAATGGTGCTAGAGGCTGAAGATCCCCTCAAAGACCACGCAGTTGTTTGTATGTGTCTGGGGTGGGGCAGAGCATTCTGATTTCCCCCATAAAACACTCAAGTGGTTTAAGGGTTGGGTGGGGCTGGAGAGAGAGAACAAGGACAAGAAAGCAACCCCCAAATACCGGGGTCTTCAGATCTTTGAGTTGGTTCCTCAGCTGGAAGAGTTCCGAAGACGTCAGTAGGATTGTGTTGAGGGTATGGACCATCGTGGAGGCAAACTTGAGATCCTCTTCCCGCAGCAGGATGTCCGCCATAGAGTGGAAGATGTTCTCTGCATTCAGGAGAAGACAGAGTTGCCTGCATGGTACCCAAGAAACAAAACAAAAAACCCAACAAAACAAAACAGAAAAAAACCCTAGGTTAGAAGCCCTCAGAAACAGGAGTTTGGTTTCTTTGTTTTTAAATAATTGTGAATGCAGGAGAAAAACAAACACACCCAAGCACCAAAGTTTGCTGCAGAAACATCTTGGACAAGATAAAGATAAAGAATACAAAATGAAAAGAATCCCTTATTTTTGCACTGCTTCTAAGCTTCATGCACTGAGCCCTTGAGTGAACTTGCACCAATGTACTCTCTTCCTACTGTTACCCTTGGGAGGCTATAAGAGAGCCCTTCTATCAACAAAGACTTGATAGCTCACAAAGCATCTCTAGGCCTGTGCAGACCGTATGTTCCCTGCAACCTGGGAGCCTGCCAACTGCACATCAGGCGTGTGTGGTCCCCACCATGCACCTGATATACATGGTCACCATACTGTGTGAATTGGGCAATACATAGATTTCCCATGCATGTACTGCCTCCCAGTTCACATGAACCTATCTGCAGAGGTTCTCTCTTACGGCTAACCTCTATCTTAATCAATGTGCCAATACCAATCCAGGGATGCCCAGCATCTCCTTTCACACATTTTCCTCAGCTTTCCATCTGCCCAGGCGGTTCGCTAACTCTTGCTGCTACAGAAGCTCAGGAGACACTTTATAGGTCCCCTCTCCAAAAACTTACTTGAGGAGTCTCAAAATAAAAAAAAAACACAATAAAAATAATAAAAACAGCATAAGAAACACCAGTATTGAATCATGCCATTAAAACAGCCCAGAACAATATTCAGCAGCCTAAAATGATATCCCTAAAACAATCCTCAGCCTGGAAAGAGACACAGCTAAAGAAGAGGGAAGTTCAAGATAAGGAAAAGCACCAGCAAGGCAAGCAGCACCAAGTACTGCTAGAACGAAAGCTTGAATTCTGTACTGTTTACATTTTTTATGTACCCCCCCCCCCCAAGTTATCCTTTCACACTGGGGTACTCATGTCTGAATCACACATCCTAGAATCTCTCTTGGCGGTGACTTCCCATAATTCACTGCAAGCCTCCCTACTATACTATACTGAAAGCAACTCCCCCAAGAAGTTGAAGCATCTTGGGAATGGGTTGGGAAAGCTCTGGCAAGCAGAGGACACTGTTCCAGGGGTGCGGGTGCCTGCCTTGATTCAACTTCCCCTCTTTAAGGCTAAACTATGCAAACAAACTCAGCTGGGGTGGGGAGTCCCTCGGAGACACTCCTCAGAATTTCAAAAAAAGGCAGGCCCAGGGCAAAGCACACTCTTCCTCCTCCATCTCCAATCTCTGCCTCCTGAAGTGACTTCTCGTGTTTTAAAGAAAGGGGCTGGAAAGCCAGTGCTGGGCATTCAGACCTCGTATACAGTTTGCCCCTCCTCTGCAAACGTAACCATTCACCAAGACCCCACGCAGCTCAGTCTTCTGTCTCCACGAACCAACCGGCTGGCTGCTTCCGGCAGGTTCGCAAGCTTGAAAGGATGGCGATGGCCAGAAGAAGGCTGCATTCTGGTTATTATTTATTTATTTTTTATTTGCTTTCAATTTGTATCCCGCCTTACCGGTATGAGCTGGCTCAAGGTGGCTTACACAGTTAAAATACAATAAAACCAATAAATACACTAAAATTACAATAAGAACAATTACATAAAGTGCTGTTATAAACAGATGGCGGGAATTTCTGTACATGGTCCGATGGGGAAAGGCCATAACTGGTGTTGTTTCATAGGGCTATGAGATGTTCGATGTACAAAGACTGTCAGTGGGGGCTCCTAATCGAAGGCCTGGTGGAAGAGCTCCGTTTTACAGGCCCTGCGGAACTGTAAAAGGTCCCTCATAGCCCTGATGTCCTCCGGGAGCTCATTCCACCAGTGTGGAGCTGCCACTGAGAAAGCCCTAGCCTGGTAATGGCCAATCTGGCACCTTTCGGGCCAGGGAGGGTCATGCGGTTTTGTGACCCTGACCTCAGTGCTCTCTGGGGCACATATGGGGAAAGGCAGTCCCTCAGGTAGGCAGGCCCCCAACCATGTAGGGCTTTAAAGGTCAAAACCAGCACCTTGAAACGAATCCGGTATGCTATAGGCAGCCAGTGCAATGCCTTCAGCACAGGCTGGATGTGATCTCACTAGTGGCTATCCCACTAGTGACCACTGGCACACCAGCCCGCAGGCAGCTGCCCACCCAACAGGAGAACCTTACAGCAGAAGGAGCATTCAAGTGAAAACTGGTCATGTTGGTAACAGCTGTAAAAAATGCAGCTAAAAGATCACTGTTGGTTTTCTACCACCATTTCTCAGTTGCTTCCATTGTCCTTCTCCATTGCGGGGGCACTGCTGCTTCCCAAGTGGAATCCTGTCACAGGCTGTCAAATGGTATTCCCTAGCAGCTACTAGGCCCCGACTTGGGTAGCCCGGGCCAACCTGATCTTGTCAGTTCTTGGAAGCTAAGCATGGTCAGCCTTGGCTAGTATTTGGATGGGAGACCTCCAAGGAATATCAGGGTTGTGATACGAAGGCAGGCGATGGCAAACCACCTCTGGATGTTTCTTGCCTTGAAAACCCTACGGGGTTGCCATAAGTCAGCTGTGACTGGACGGCAAGAAAAAGCTACTAGAAATACAAGGCAGTGCAGGGTAAGAAATGGCTATGAGCCTCCCCTTCCATTAAGGGGAGTCTAGAAGAAGATTCTCCCATTGCAATGAGTTTTCTGTTCTCGCGTTTGAAGCCGTCCCTATCTTCTCTGTAAATGTGCACGCTCATGAGCTTTCTAGCAACACTAAGAAAACGACACCATCAGGTTTTTAACAAGCGGGATCCTGGGTTTCCCCCAGCCACACAACAGCCACAGTTTAGGCTTTCCTTCATTTAAAAAAAAGCTGTTACTCATGGCTGCTGTGTGACTGCAGGGAACCTGACCCCAACTCGTTCAAAATCTGAATGTGCAGTTTGGCCCAAAGCAGTGCAAGTTTGCAAGCTGCAATCTAGACACCGTGGGGCAGCTGAATGAATGTCAGCTGGATTCAACCTGTCCTCTCCAGCCACAGCATAGTAAGAGGAATCTCAACAAGAAAGGGGGATTGTAAATGTAGTTAAGGCAATAAGTACACAAACTGGAAATGTTCCTTCTGTGGGTTCAGATCACAAGAAACCTGAAAGGGGAAGGAAGTACTCATTATTGATAACTTTTGTCACTGTTAGCTAAGAGTATGGAATTCAGGGAGTGATTCAAACGTCACAGTCAGAAAATCAGACAGGAAACGCAGTGTAGGAAGATCTCTTTTAAGGAAAGAGGTCCTCTTGGGTTTCAATCCAAAGCACAGCAAAAGCCTGCCACTGTGGAAAGGCACAGCAAGACTTGTCCAGCTTCACCTGATAAAACTGCCTTCTGTATGGCACTTTAGGGGTGGATCGCAAAAGTCCTGCAGAGCTATTTTATGAAAGGCAGATATACGAACATAACACATGCCCCTCAGGAAGAACACCTGGAAGATAAGGAGCTCAATTCATCTGCGACCCCCCCTTAACATCCATTAATGTCCATTCCAAAGGACAAATTATATAAGTGTCTCAGAACAATAGCAACGGCATGCACAAAGCTGCGATAAAAGCTACACCAATTTTATTTCATTTGTTCTTAAATATTTATCCAATACTAAACAACAACAACAACAAAAATAGGTATAAAGGGAGCAGGTCTACCCAACCATAAAAGCCCCATGGACTCTCTCACGTTCTGCTGCAAGTTCCATTCTCTAAGCCGATTTTAAAAAACAAAAACAAAAACCTATCCCCCCTCTGCAACTCAACATTTGACTACTGGAGGTTCTGATGAACAGGCCCAATTTGTGCCCAGCATCTAAATGGGGACAAAAATGGCACTGGGTGAGCATCCCTCAGGAAGTGCCAGAGTAGCACACAAAGGGTAAAAAAAACCACTGCCCACCCACCTTTCTGATTTGGTGAGGGGGATATGATTTGTGACCTTCACAAAAATGCCAGGCCAAGTGCTGTCCTCAATCCTTTTCCTGACACACAAAAGGCACTCTGAGGCTTTTTGTCCTTTGTAAATGTTTGTCAGGCACCCTCAGGCAGTGTTTACAGATGTTACTTCTGATTAACTACAAGCAGGTGCCCAAGGGTGAAGGAGTAGGTGGGTTGGCAGATGGCCTTCTACCCTCTCGGTGGAGCAGAAGGGAGATGCTGGGTTGGATCCGAGAGCTCTGCTCCACTAAGGGCAGTGCTTTCCTCTTCCCCTTCCTCTGTACCAAAGAGAAGAGCCACCATTACTGGGACAAATCAGTGGGATCCAACTCACTGCCATCTGACTATCTATAGTAGGAAGGGAAGAGGTTTCAGGAATCTGCCTAGTTACAACTATTTGCCTTACATTCTTTTTTGAAGTGGCATTCGTAAGATGGGTGATTACTTTTCCAATTTACATCCTGTCATTTAGCGGCCTCAGAACATGTACTATGAAACCACAAGAAAAATAAGGTTGAAATGTGCAGATATCCCAATTACGCCCAATAAAATATCAAAAGCACACGAACACACTAAGCTACCTTATACTGAATCAGACAGTCCACCATGGTGACTACCATCTACTCAGACTGGCAGCAGCTCTCCAGGGTCTTAGGAAGAGTGTGTTTCACATAATTTACTGCCTGGTCCCTTTAACTGGAGACAGTGAGGACTGAACCTGGGACCTTCTGCATGCAAAGTAGATGCTGTACCGTTGAGTCACGGCCCCTCCCGCAGCAGCCCAAACTGATTGCTGCCCCCAAAGTCCTCTGAAATAGGCCATCTTCCCAAGAGCCATGGCAGAGTAGGCCAAGGACTCAGAGGCAGTTCCAGGTACTAAATTCAGCTGAGTGGCCAGCACCTCCAAAGAGGGCTTACTTGCCAGCCTCACTTTAGATCAGTGGTTCTCAACCTTCCTAATGCCATGACCCTTTAATACAGT